TCAAGTCTCACCTACTGGAATTGATAGTTTTCGACTGTTATTATCATCAGTCTTCCCTTGGGTTGCACGTGTTGATGAAGATGTGCAACTGATTGTTGAAAATGCTATTCGTGACTCACTGGATCAGTTTCACACGCACATCGATTGACTGACTGACTTGACATAGGTGGTAAAAATCCTCATTTTAATCTTTTGGCTCAGGAGAAGTGCGGAAGATTTATAAATTGATGTAAGGGTGAGGATGAGGGTCTGTCATAAGTTTCCGACTAGATTAAACTTTGACATTCTCATCCGTTCCAACCGCCTGTATTCCAAGTGATTTACAGTAGATAAATGAAGGAAGTGACATCCTCCAAATTAACTCCGCTGAGAAGGCTGAAAATTCCATGCTGTAAATTGTTATTGCGGTGGAATAAAGTGATTATTTGTTGTAGTTGTTGGCTGGTTGTTTGGATTGCGTGTCGTCGCCTATAAAACATGAGACAATAGCATAGTTCAATTTCGACTGAGAATTTGTGTTTGTCTTCTGGCATCATGCTAGCCAATTCTTTCGCAGTCGATAAAATTCATCCAAAAGTGTAAATGTCCGCGTTTATCGATCTCTGACACGACATTTTCAATGAATCTTTTACCAAAAGTATTATACCTGACTAATGGAAAAATATCAAGGTTGTTCCAGTGCCTAAATCAACAAGTGGACCTATTGTCAAGTTTAGACCCATTGCTATTACCTCACTTTTTTTGAAAGTTATGGAAAGACTTATTTTGCTTAATCTTGAACCCTCTTTAAAGCCTTTCAATGACCCCAACCAGTTTGCTTATAAACACAGTAGGTGTACCTTAGATGCCGCTGTTGTTCTTTATCATAATATAGTCTCTAGTTAAGATAGAGGAGCTAAATATATTCGGTGTGCCTTCCTTGATTACACATCTGCATTTGACTCTGTTCCTAGGTCTCTCTTGTTAAGTAAGCTTGCTGCAACACAGAGTGAGAGCTGGATAAATAAGTGGTTGCATTCCTATTTTTCTGATAGGGAGCAGTACACTGTCTACAATGGAAAGTCCTCCACTACCTCACTTACTTTATCTGGTGTTCCTCAAGGTGCTGTTCTTTCTCCTTTTCTGTTTTCTTTTTTCCTACATGACTTGCCCCATTCTGATGTAGCCACTTTTGTCAAGTGTGCCGATGACCTCTCTGTCTCCATGCCTGTCAACTCTCAGTCGGAATGTTCCAAATTAAATAACTTTCTCTCAGAAATTAGTCAGTGGTCCTCTTCAAACGGTCTTAAGCTGAATCCGTCTAAATGTCAGGTAGTAAATTTCACTTTCAGACGAAAATGTGACCTACAACAACTAGCTAGCTGATATGGTCCCACTGTCATTGACGACATAGAGATTGAAACTACATCAGATGTCAAGTACCTTGGACTGAGTATTTCCTCCGATCTTTCCTGGTCCTCTCGCATCTTGCTAGTTACTAGAAAGATGTTTCGCCTAACGTTCTACGTTAGGAAGTTTAGGCAGTTTGGTATAAAGCAGTCTTTGCTTTCGCAGTTTGTCAATTCTTGTATTCTAACCATCCCTCTTTACTGCTCCCCATTAGTCTTTCCTGGACTACTTAAGAAAGACTTTGCTTTGCTGCATAGGGCACTGAAAGCCGTTAGTAGGGGAAGTGGGCGTTCGTTAAACCAACTGGTTAACACCATTGTGGATAGACATATAATGTCATGTAAGAAACTAGCGAATTCTATATTGTCAGACCCCGAACACCCTCTCTATACGCAGCTCTCTCCTTGCATTTCATCTGGTAGAACTAGAAGCAATTATAGGAGGCTATATGCCAGAACTACCAAGTACAAAAACTCCACAATACCTTATCTGGCACAGCTGTTATGTGATGAGAAAACTGTTAAGTATGACACGATCAACTTACTGCGGCACTCTAACAAATAGTTCCCATTAGCTTTTGTTCTCCTTTCTTTGTTACTATTATATTCATTTATCTTTCTTTTCTTTTTGTCGTTGTTGCTTTTTATTTTTAAATCTTATAAAATTTATGAGGTAATTAGATGCAATATTTTAATGCACGCTGAAAATTCCATATCTGTACCACAAATACTGTTCGGAATAAAGCTATTATTATTATTATCTGACCACCAGACTTCGAATATCTCTCCGCTATTTTAATGGTGCTTCGACATCCCCTTGCTCTTTTCAATATCGTTACCTTATGGTTCTTTTTCAACTTCAATGTCACTGCCTCATTTCATTCGAAATGATAATTATAAACTGAAATCGATAGTCACCACCAATCACAGAATCAGTCGAAGGTGATATTGTTTTAAGTAGCCTTATGTTCATGCAGCAGACTGCCTGTCAAATTGAAAGTGACCGGAAATATCACGCCATGTACGTGTCTCCATTATCATAAGAAGCAGCAGGTTATTCCAAGGGCACTTTGATCACCGTCCACTTTGACAATGGCTGATTTCTGCTTCACACTCAACCCATTCATTCATGTGATAAGCTTGAGAGTTCCAAAGTAACAATGGACGTGATTTTCTGGAAGAAATTTATCAATTCACTTCTGGGAACGCTGAAAGACAAATATTGAGCATTAGTCGACTGACTGTATAATAGCAAGTGATTTGAGAGAGCTGTTTGTTGTTGAAAGGCACTCAAATCAATGCGTGCATGTACCAGTAAGCCATGTGAACAGCTCAGTGGATGGAAAATAATTCAGAATCGATTTGTACAACTTTATCTCCAACTGAAAGATTCGCAACAGTGGAGAAATACTTTCCACTCTCGTATGCTTCGATGAGTAGTTCATTGGTAGTGATGTGATTCACTGTTCCCAGAATCTCTTCTATTAGACGCATGGTATTACATGCATCGTCTATGGATATAATCGTGCAGTCAACTATGAAGACATGACATCATACTCTAGCTATAAACTGAAATGTGTAGTTGTATACGAGGAACGCTAGCTGGCTGACTGGCTGGCTCATCTCAATCAGCCAGTAGTGCATGACATTATGCAGATATTCTTGCTTTTCTGATTACTGTTGATGATATCTAGCGATTCACATGCTATAAGTGTGGAGGAAGCACATTAGATGCAGCCATTGTACCCCACCACAATATTGTTTCCTGCCTTGATAAGGGTGCTAAGTTCGTTCGAACAGCTTTTTTAGACTATACTGCAGCTTTCGACTCTGTTCCTAGGACACTTTTATTAGGAAAGATGATTTCAGCACAGACAGAGTCCTGGGCAACTAGATGGCTGTCTTCTTATTTTAAGGATAGGAAACAGCATACTGTTTTGGCTGGAAAGCGCTCCACTTCTCAGCTGACCGAAAGTGGTGTGCCTCAAGGTGCAGTACTTTCTCCATTTCTTTTCTCTTTCCTTTTGCATGACCTTCCGAACTCACCCAAAGTTAACTTCATTAAGTATGCTGATGATCTGACCGTTTCTGTCCCTGTAGTTTCCACATCGGATTGTTCCCATATGAATGGCCTCTTAGCTGAAGTTAAGGATTGGTCTGGCTCAAATGGTCTTAAACTAAATCCAACTAAATGTAATACTGTTGATTTCAGCTTGAGAAGTGAAAAAGACATGCATGGATTGGTCCAATCTCATGATTGTTGTAATATTGATGGTAACATGATAGAGAGTAAGTCAAGTATTTCTTATCTTGGCATCAGTTTCTCTTCAAACCTTTGCTGGTCGTCTCATATTCTTATAGTTTCTAAGAAAGTTTTCCGTCTGACTTATTACATAAAGAAGTTGAGGCACTCAGGTATAACCCAATCTCTTCTCATACAATTTATTAATTCATGTGTTTCGCCCATTATTCTTTATTGTTCTCCATTATTCTTCCCTGGGCTACTCAAGAAAGACCATATAATACTACGAAGAACATTGAGGGCTGTAAGTAGGGTCAGTGCTATCCCTTTGACTCAACTAACCGACACTGTTGTCAATAGGCATATGAATTCTTGTAAACACTTAGCTAAAGTTATCTTGTCTGATTGTGAACATCCTCTTTATTCACATTTGTTTCCTTGTATCTCTTCGGGTAAGACCAGAAGAAATTTCATAAACATTTATGCTCGTACTACAAAATATAAAAATTCGACTGTACCATATTTGGCACGAGTATTGTGTGAAGAGACAAATATCAGAAAAGAACTTTTACAACTTTTAAATCATTAACTAAACTATAAAATGTATTGATGCATATTATTGCATGTGTTATTTGTTATATTATTTATTTATTATTCACTATGACCTAGCAATGGTGTGATTTTGTTGGGGTTTTTATTTTTTCCTATTAACTATCAATATTTTAACATTTTATACATTTATATAATTATAAACAGAGCTAAACAATTGCAATATGTAAAAGAAACGCTGCAAATTCCATGCTGTAAATTGTTATTGTTGTGGAATAAAGTGATTATTAGTATTATTACACTGTGAATTATTTTGGTTTCCTAGAGGAATTGTGGTGAAATTTCACTTCGTCGAACTGTGTTAAATTGACTTGCAAACTTCACTTTCTCTACAGCCGATGGTACAGTATCCACAATATTATCGGTATACTTTGTTGCAATGCTTCACTTAGCCTGAAATATATAAAACAAATTAGATTCGCTAATTTTATTGTTGCTTTTAAACTTGATTGCTCACTTTCACTCGAAACTCCGTCGCTAAATTGCACTCAAAATTGTAAATGACATGTCATGCGATGGTCTGACGATGGCATGGCGAAATTCTTTTGAGTTTGGAGATGAGAGATCATGGACGATTGTACTGCCATATTAAATTGAGCTCTATAGAATAGGAATGATTTTGGTGTGCGGTAGCAGGCGTATATTCCACTCGAAACAGAAAGAACAAAGAAAGCGTCTCTTTCTGTTGTTCATTTCAAATGAGATCGAATTGAAAATTCATTATGTTTTCCTCATTCTTCTATATTTTCAGTAAAATGGTGTCTCAGAGGTCAAAACTAAACCCCGTCATGGTTGTCGGTCTGTGCATAGTTAATATTATGTGGATTAGATCGGATATTTTTCCGGTCACTATGACATTCGATGGAGAAGGTAATTTGTATGAATTCTTTTTTTGGATTATAGCTTGAAGTCACACCGTATTTTTGGCACATGTATGGAATTTTCAGCTTATGATATCGGTAGGCCTACCATAGTAGATATCTGGTGTGCGTCGGTAGGGTATCGATTCGTGGACCATGTGCATGGTCGGCGAGATTTCTAACTGCTGAAATGGATGTGACTTCACTGTTACTAGGTATCGTGACAGATCACTTCATGAGAACCATGATTCATCTTGTAATGTTGACTGATCCGACAGAGAGCATGATGTGGTTACCTGGAAATCCACCGCGAGAACACATCCTCACCGGTGATGAGATTCGATAGTGGTGGTGCTATACATTGCAGATTACGAGAAGAGAGTATTCACCGGCCACTGGATTTCGTCCGAGTGAATGAATAGTCACTGAGATCACCTCTTCAGCTGAAAGTTTCTGTTCTCATTCTTCATGAGATATTGTGTTCTACGACCAAGTGATCATCCTTTAATTGTCGTTTTCCAATTCTCGTTTTCTCGAAACGATGTCACTGCACCATCCGTGATATACGTTGTAATTATAGGGTAGTTTCTGGTTTCATTCGGTATGGTGTTTCACCTTTTCAAAAGACACATTAAAATTCCACGTGTCACGTGATTCACAATAGATAACTGAGTGAAGCTTCCGTTTGAAGTGAAAAAAGCAGCACGACAAGGCTATATGTCCACTATCGTCGATGGTATTCCCCACTGTGATGGCCTGTTTCATGCGAGATGCAGGAATGTGGTGTACAAGTAGACAGGAATAGGTTAGAAGAAGCAGAATACTCTTGGATATTTGGATTTTTAGTGTCACATAAACTCGAAGACTTTAGGGCGAAAAACAACAGCCTGGTAGGAGAAGCAGGAATAGAATGCAGGACTTGAAGTGAAGACAGAGAAGATGGCGGTGTGGAAGATTAACAATGTACTAACTGTAACAACAAGCACCGATCACCCTCAGCCGGATATATTTGAAAGTGGTCACTTCATTCACTTGTCTGACCTACACGAATGATGTCCTAAAGTGTCTTCAATACCTCAAACCTACTCAGTCCCTTGGTCCTGACGGAGTTCCTGCTGTTATCCTTAAGAAGTGTGCTGACATCTTATGTTACCCATTAACCGACATTTTCAATGAATCTTTTTCCAGAAGTATTATTCCTGACTCATGGAAAAATATCAAGGTTGTTCCAGTGCCTAAATCAACAAGTGGACCTACTGTCAAGTTTAGACCCATTGCTATTAACTCACCTTTTTTTTAGAAGTTATGGAAAGACTTATTTTACTTAATCTTGAACCCTCTTTAAAGCCTTTCAAACATAGTAGGTGTACCTTAGATGCCACTGTTGTTCTTTATCATAATATAGTCTCTAGTTTAGATAGAGGAGCCAAATATGTTCGGTGTGCCTTCCTTGATTACACATCTGCATTTGACTCAGTTCCTAGGTCTCTCTTGCTAAGTAAGCTTGCTGCAACACAGAGTGAGAGCTGGACAAATAAGTGGTTGCATTCCTACTTTTCTGATGGGAAGCGGTACACCGTCTACAATGGAAAGTCCTCCACTACCTCACTTACTTTAGCTGGTGTTCCTCAAGGTGCTGTTCTTTCTCCTTTTCTGTTTTCTTTTTTCCTACATGACTTGCCCCATTCTGATGTAGTCACTTTTGTTAAGTATACTGATGACCTCTCTGTCTCCATGCCTGTCAACTCTCAGTCGGGCTGTTCCAAATTAAATAACTTTCTCTCGGAAATTAGTCAGTGGTCCTCTTCAAACGGTCTTAAGCTGAATCCGTCTAAATGTCAGGTAGTAAATTTCACTTTCAGACGAAAATGTGACCTACAACAACTAGCTAGCTCACATGGTCCCACTGCCATTGACGACATAGAGGTTGAAACTACATCTAATGTCAAGTACCTTGGACTGAGTATTTCCTCCGATCTTTCCTGGTCCTCTCACATCTTGCTAGTTACTAGAAAGATGTTTCGCTTAACGTTCCACGTTAGGAAGTTAAGGCAGTCTCGTATAAAGCAGTCTTTGATTTCTCACTTTGTCAATTCTTGTATTCTAACCATCCCTGTTTACTGCTCCCTATTAGTCTTTCCTGGACTACTTAGGAAAGATTTTCCTTTGCTGCGTAGGGCACTAAAGGCTGTTAGTAGGGCAAGTGGGATTTCGTTAAACCAACTGGTTAACACTATTGTGGATAGACATATAATGTCATGTAAGAAACTAGCGAATTCTATATTGTCAGACCCCGAACACCCTCTCTATACGCGGCTCTCTCCTTGCATTTCTTCTGGTAGAATTAGAAGCAACTATAGGAGGCTATATGCTAGGACTACCAAGTATAAAAACTCCACACTACCTTATCTGGCACAGCTGTTATGTGATGAGAAATCCGTTAGGGGTATGACACGATCACCTTACTGCAGCACTCTAACAAATAGTTCCCATTAGCTTTTGTTCTCCTTTCTTTGTTACTATTATATTGTTGCTCACATATTCTATTACACACTAATTTTACATTTCATATCCTGTGGTGCATTGTTTAAATATGTGAATGCAGTCTTGTTCTTTTTTTATTTTTGTTATTGTTGCTTTTTTATTTTTAAATCTTATAAAATTTATGAGGTAATTAGATGCAATATTGTAATGCACGCTGAAAATTCCATACCTGTACCACAAATACTGTTTGGAATAAAGCAATTATTATTATTATCCATTCAGCTACAGGCATACTGGGATACTGGGACCAGTGTCACCGTTGAAGATATTTTATCACCTGAAAATAAGCCACTTCAATACAGTTTGGTTGTTCTTTATTCAGGGCATAATCTGATTATTTATTCTATTCGCAGTACTGTAAACCGGAGATAAGAATGATATTTTCCAGTGGCATTTTTCGTTCACTTTGTATGATGTTTAGGCATTCATTGCATAGCCATGGACTGACAGACAACCACTGACCTAAAATGGGCGCTGATTGACATTGGAAAAAAATTCTGTATAGCTGCGAGATATGAATCAGCGACTAACAAATGCTCATTCCTGATCTCTACAAATTAGACATCAAAAGTCGACTGATCACTTAATATAAATTATTTCACTGCATTCATGAACCAGGTCTACTTGTAGACATTTCAAACCTTTCCCATGATTCATAAAAACGTGTTTTTGTTTATTTTAAGGAAAAGTAAATGTCCAGTTTTTCAAGATCAATTTCACTTTGAACCACAGAGACCTCAATTTAACTGTTAAAGATGTGGACTGTATATACTGGGTGGCATTCGGCTTTAGCATGACCAAACAGGAATGGGACAATAGAGCGGGACAGCGTAAAGGTTACGTGTAAGTCTTCTTTAATATGTGAATTACGCGATATTTTAGGCTTTACTACAAACGTTATATCTAAATTACTTTATAATGTTGGTGTAAATATGCTCACCGTATTCTCAAGAATACTACGTGCATTTTCTAAAGAACCTCCGATTCCATAGAAAACTAAGGCCTCCTTGTATAATTGTTGTCTTGTGCGTACAGTATCGTACTTGTGGTGTCACATGCGATGGCCAGTTTGCTTTCAGTTTCATCATACATAATGTAGATTCCGTGGGCATACTTTTACATTAGGCAACAATGATAATGATAATAATGACAACAAGAGCAGTTCTAGTAGAAGAAGTTGAGATGTGTGTTTATAAATTCACTAACTACTGCAGAGACAGTTATATTTTTGGAAGAAACCAGCATGCTGTTTTGAATTGAGAGCGCCACACTTCGTTACCAACAGGAACTGGTGTCGCTCGAAGCGCTTCACTTCCTCAATTCATATTTTCGTTTTGCACGATCTTCCGTATTCTCTGAAGGCTGATTTCACCGGATATGCCGATGGTCTAATGACCTCCATACCAGTAGACTCCCCATTGAATTGTTCTCATATGAATAGATTCTTATCTGAAGTTAACACAGTCTCACTCAAAATGGTCTAAAATCAAGCCCATCTGTATGTTATACAGTTTGTTGATTTCACTTTCATATGTGAACAAGACTCTCGCCAACTGATTGACTCAATATTGACGGCAGTGTGAAAGAGAGTCAATCGAATATCTCCGATTTCCACTCCCGCATCTCTTCAAATCTCTGTGGGTCGTCTCACATCTTGTTGATTTCTGGAGAAATATTTCGTTTCACTGATTACATGAGCTAGTTGAAATTATTTGCTGGCCTAATTAAACCTCTTCTCCTGCAATTTCTCAATTCACATAGTCTGCTCATTCTTCTTCATTGTTCATCTCACTTATTCCTCCATGGACATCTCAAAATCAGACTAAGTTAAATCACTTAGAAAGTTGGAGGCTGGAAGTAGGGTTGGTGGTGTGCTGCCTCTTACTCAGCTGACTGACATAATTGTCTATGGGCACTTGAATTCTTTTAAGCTGTTGGTCTGATGCGGAACATCCTCCCTACTATTAGCAAATTTCTCCTTTTATATATTATACGAGTGCGAAAGCATAAGACATTCCATTATATATCAGGCGGATGTGAGCAGGAAAATGTGTGACCTCAACCATACGATATTTAGCACGGGATTTGCGTGAAGAGCTAAATGTCAGAAAGGAACTTGCAAAACTTCTGAATCAGCAACTGATTTGCGAGGTGCTCTTCAGCTGTCTCCGGAAGTGCCCATAGGCTGTGATCTTCTCCACTTATAAATGCACACACAGGATGACCTACATGTAAACCACAGACAAGCAACTCAGTGTTTGCAAATTGGACTGCTCTGGAGTGGTGGCACGATATGTGGTATCACCTAATGTCTTTCTTTGCGTGTGTCAGAGCCACTTTCATCCCTCTGGACAGAATTGTGGGGCGACAGGAATCTTGTTGTTTCCTTGTCAGAATTCTTTCCGACTTTAGATAACCCTGAAACAGGTCTTATAACTTCTGTGCAGGATAAGCACCACTGGTAAAGACAATATAACTATCATCAATTACAAAACTGCTTCCAATTTTAGAAATATCCTACTAGGTATTATACTATACATAACTGGGCGCTGTAGTTAATGAAACTATTCATGACGACTATTCATGATTTCATTTCTGCTGTTTCTCTCACTTTCTCTACCTCTAGAGATTGTCTAAGTTGGCATGGACAGAGAGGACGAAATTACTTTTGAGTGTGACTGCGCAAAACACTAGAGGAGCTGCAGTGAAAATGTCAAAATCACACTTCATACTCATTGCGTAACAGCAAAACAGCTTCAATTTGGCTCATTCAAATGCTCCGCTTGGAAGTTTCTAAAATCAATACGCTTCATTTTCTCAATACTCAGTAATCGTCTTTCTCTTCTTTCTGTAGATTATTTTTCCGCCAATAAATCTATATTCACAAATTCCTTTAGTGTTAATAATAAATGTGAAGTGTTCCCATGTGTTGATACAGAAACTGAATGATTGACTTCATTGTGGACCGTGTCATTCATGATCAAGATTCGATTCAGTGAAGACAGGAGTGAAACTCGTCACTGTATTGCTCCAAATGTGTCAACGTGTTTCTTTGAGACAACATGGTTTGCACAAATGTACCAGAAAGAGTGAAAGAGTGCCCTTCAGAATAAACATTAACAGATTTTCAACTACCGTTTGAAATGTGACTGGAAGTTTGAAGACGAGATGGCAATTCTAAAGAATAGCAGCCTAAACCGAAACTACCTAGCGAGCAGACAAACGACCTTGACAAGGACAAGTTCGACCAATCAGAAGGCTCAAAAAAAGGCGCATCATTGTAATAAATCGTTTATATAAAACTAATGCAATGTTAAAAAAATAGTTACAAATGACAACGCTCTCGTATATGTTGCATAAAAGCCTGCCAATTTATCATAAGAGTATTGATACTCATGTTTAACCAAGTCCTGTAGATAAACTCATCACGATAACTGTATATCATTGCACTTCTTGATCCATTCACAGATCTGATACGCTTTTTTAGGTGACTCCAAAAACTTTCGATGGAATTAGTGTGAGTTCCATCAAAAAGACTGAGAAAACCATTTGTGTGGTTGACCACTTGATGAATATAGCCCAGATTCGATAACTGACTGTAACTACTCCATTCATCTGTATGAATAGTCGTCCCACGTAGCACTAAGCGCTGGATAATAGGCAATAATACACCTGCACTGCGATTAGGGATCGCTTCAATATGTCCTTTCTCGAGGCTGGTGTCATATATCTCCAATACCTATTGCTCATTCGCGCTCAATCTACCTCGATTATATTTTCTTTTTATCAAAAGTACCTAAGGACTCTGTAAGTTATAAAACGAACGACATACTCTCTCGAACTGATTTTCTGGTTTGGCACTCAATTCACCAACAAACAAACCCATCGATGCACCTAACAGTTATCAAAAACAAGATCTGTAGCGAATTCGCAGTGCTAAAGGTGTAAAGCACCCATAAATACGTCTGGAAAATACGGAGCCACCTGATTGGTTGCTCAAGGTCATTTATCCATTTGCAAAGTAGTTTCGGTTTGGGCTGCTATCCTTTAGAGTTGCTGATGAGATTGCACCCGGAAAATAGGAGATGTTGTGAAGGCGTGCTCACATTACACCTTTTTTGTGCGTCGGTGGCACAGTGGTTAGGACTCTCGCCGACTATGCACATGGTCCGGGGTTCGATACCCTGCCGGCGCACACCCGATATCTATGGTCGGCCTGTAAATTTGGGCTACCGATATCCGTGCTGAAAATTCCATACTTTACTGAAAATACGGTGTGGAATCAAGCTGTAATAAAAAAAATTACACCATTTTGCGTAGCTCCCATCTCGACAACAAAATTGTAGTCTGGTTAGAATTGCTGACTGGTCAGTGTAAATATGACAACAACACATTTTATCATATCTTTATTTAACTGGAATGCAACTTATGGAAAACATTGCTAGATTCGTAAAGATGGTGTTAATTCTCCATAACTAACATCTACTCATCTCACACTATATCTTCCTCTAATACGTAACTATTTAACTTATTGCTAACTAGTGGTAGTATGGGTTTATATTTTGTTTACTATGTCACTACACCACTAGGAGCTATAACCATTCTTCAACATCGATCAATATCTCATATGATATTCAAGTTTACCTTTCAACTATAGTAATTATATTCCTAGGTTCAGACTGTAAGTGCTATACATGTTTCTCTTATATTCCACTCTCCCATGAACTTTCATTGATAGCATCAGGCAGTTTTGACTCAACAATGATTCACAAAAACAGTAATTTTCAAATAGAAGCAGAAGGTAGCGAAGGAGGAGAGTATTCGGTATTCCACAAGATGACCGTAGCCAAATGCTTTTGGATACTGAAGTGTCCAAGTACTGTAATGTTAACTTTATGAAACCTCCCGACTAACCTAGAGCTTGGGGCAGTACACTCAAGTCTGGTTCATGCCCAGAACTGGAATCAGCAATCAGACATTTAGATTATTTCAATTCGTGATAATTCAGAGTAGACTAGTGATTCATTTCAAGAAAGTAAACTGTTTTTTATGAGGTAATGGTGATGCATAGACAACTAGATGAGAGACCGTTAACTATTTAGCCTGTCCTGAATACTGAAGTGGTTATGTCAGTATCTGTAATCAGTCAGAGGCGGATTGCGTCTTGTTAAACTAAGTCGTGAAGCCTACTCAGTGATGTGCCCCATTTTCACTTCCAATTAAATTGCAATGCATAAACAGTGCTGAAGCGAATTAGGGTGGGATTAACTTTGGTTGCAAATGCTCACATTTTCTGTCTAAATCAACACATGGCTGCAATTTAAATTTTGTTCGCCTGCTGAGAACCTCATCTTATTTTGATAGTCTCCCCTAAACATGATAAAAATGCCAGATCCTCAATCAGGTTTATCATTCACCTAGCACTCATTCAATAAGTCGCGGTGTTTCTCACAATTAGGCTGCGGTTTGGGGTTCGTTATGAATGCAAATGAATTGAAAAGAAAATAACGTTGCTTGATGTAACATAATCACCTGACAACCTCTCATTTCTGGAAGCGATTAGCTACATATTTAATTAAAGAAAAGATGGAGATAGGAATCTCTTTTGAAAATAGTCGGGGAATTACTGCTCAGATGCTCAGTGAATGTCCAGCTTTTGTTTAATAATTACTTCTGTTCACATGCTGATGGGTTAGCCTATGTATTCCATTCTAATGGATATTTCCGGTTCAACTTTGAAAATGGTCAAATTAGATAGGCAACTGACGGGCTTGGTTATTATTGCCGAAAAGTAGATGATACTTCTGACAGAGTCTTCTAGAAATAAGAGCTTGTGAATACTACCAATACTACTCACCCTACTGCTGTTCACTTCACTTGTGTGAAGCAGGATACATTAGTACACTCTTCGAAGAATTCATCCTTACTAAGGAGATGCATGTATGTTTGAAGTGAAACCCATTTGAAAAGAACATTTGGACTGTTAGTTAGATTCATTTTCATAGTTTCCTACAGTTTCCGTAGAAGAGCGATTTACTTAAATGGCCTAGCTGTGGAATGAAACGGAAATGTTCAGACGAATGTGAAAACCAAGAAACTTGTAAATTGAAGTGTGCATTACATGAAAGTTGGTATCCAACAGCCCTTTGAAAATTATATGTTGACACTTGACGATAAGGCTTTGATGGGAACCGGGGATAAGAACACTGTGTTATCAGTCTATCCCCATCGAACATTTCATGTATCCTGTTTATTTCTAAACAAATAAGGTATTACACCATCGAGTAAATTCCTTACGTAAAACAATAAGAGCTCATTTTTTAGACTGTTGTATTTTACATTGTTTTATAAAAAATTAAGGTGTAATGAATTTGATAACCACGACATGCGAAAATGTAGGAAATTCTTAGTTTAAACGTTTAAATCAACCAAACACAAGTGTACATTTATGTGTAGACATATTTCGTTTTCGTTTCTTATGACAAAAACATCATAGGGACAAATACAAATAAAATTGAAAGCATATTGTGTTAAACAGGTTCCTGTAACACTTCATAGAAATTCTGTATTTATTTACTTGAATATGCAATGACATTGAAAACAGAAACTGAGTGGAAAACAGAAAGTCAAGTTTATACGTGAATTAGAGGGAACAATTGTTATTGAGTGAGAAAGTAAGAAATCTGTCTGTTAGATAAAGTTAAAATGTGAGTTCAGCTCGTGAAAATTGTGTCAAATGTGGTTATATCCTGCGAGGACTCCCATTCGACCACCTAGAAAGCACAACAAATTGCTTTGAAAACACGTAGTAAATATGTAATAATGTATATCATTGTGATAATGTCAATATAGAATGGGATATTGTGATTTCACTTACCAGATCATAAGTCACTATTTTATTCTTACTATTCGACTATTTATTTTGTTGTTCAGTAACCTAAATGATTCTCCTCTACACTCTTCTTTTCCACATTTTCTAAGTTGGGCACTACTCATAGGGCTGAACTCACCCACTAACTTTTCTAAAACCTTCTCAGTTAGCAGATATAGTTGAATGTTTAGTGTCCTATTGATTCCTTGAGGTGCATGTATGAAGCAGGTTAGAAGACGTGTTGATTCACTTTGTTTAGTGAATACGCATGCAAAGACATGTGGGTCAGCCTGTACTACGTACATGAACAGGTTTTAGTTATAGGAGTTGGGATGAGACATGTACAGTGGCGTCTATTCTATAAATATTTATGCAAAATGTGATTATTTGCCTTTGAAGCATACATGTCACCTTAGAATTGAGTGATACATATTTCGACGTTGGTAGTCTGTCTGAAACTTGGCCCACCATAAATTCCATCTTTCTGCTGTATATATTTTCTCTGGTTCGTTTTGTTATAATCGCTTGAGATATGACGTCTATTGGTATTATCTACTCTTTTGTGTACTTACAATGTTTACAAGCTCCTGATTCACAAATTCCTATTAAACTCGATGACAGAGGCCTGATTATGGCAACGTGGCAATGTGTTCAAATACACGAGATAACTGTTCTACAGTCATCTCCTTCGGTCTCAACATGTAATTCTCACTGTCTTACAATCAGCTTTCAACCAGATATCGTGGATTCCTTTAAGGAAACAAAGCACAAGTATCACAATGGAGTGGTTTGTGCTTGTTTCACAGGATATACTGTCAGCTAATATTTTCCTTGAAGAGATTGTACGAATGGAACATATAATGCAGTAAACTCCTCTGGAATTTCTGAACATTTTATAACTACTGTTCTAAATAAATACATTATTATTATTTCATTGAGGGGGAAAATCCATTTGAA